ATGCTCTTTCCCTCTAGCAAAAGCCAAAAATGGACAAAAAGTAACCGAATACAGAAAAGTAAAATCCTAGGACAAGAAAAGCTCTTCTGGAAGAACTAATGCCTTGTTTGTCAAGGTTTCTACCAAAACAAAGTAGACTGTATAAGGGAGGCAAAGAACTTCTGATGTTAAGAGTTTTCTCCAACAATTAGAAGCAGTCATGTTTTTCCTTTTGCCCTAGAAATTCATCTATGGGAATCAAGGCTGAGCTTTCCAGGCAGATGAAATGTCAGCCACAGCTTCTCCTACTGAAAGATAGACTGCTTTCAACCCAAAGGAATCCAAAATATTTGATTGATGCAACTTTTCCATCACATTTCCAACAGGATTTGCCAACACAAGCTGCAACAATCAATTATGTACGTAAAGATTTGAAATTAAACTTGGGCGAGGCTTTATGCTTTTTTAAAATGCTACACTTTGTATTTATACCTGAAGTGATCTTTTGTCTAGCACTTTTCTGAGTTCACATAGAGTATCGATCCCACTTGTGTCTATGGCTGTAACGGCTGGGGAAAGAAAGAAAAAAAAAATACTACTTTTTCAGTAAAAAAAAAAAGTAATTTAAAACATAGATAACAAAATTTTAACTCAGACTAAATATTTACCTGTCATGTCCAAAATTATGCACTTCAATGTGCTTTCATTGTTTGCTTTTACTCGCTCTTCCTCTTCTCGAACCCATCTCAGTATCCTACAGCAGCAAAAGCTCTCAAATGGTTGGAATCTCAGAATCACTAAGAAAATGCCTCTGAAAAATCTTTGAAATGTACTAAACTTCACAAATTGACAATCTACAAGTCGCTTTATCTAACCTTTCTTGGAGGTACGTTGAATTAGCAAAGTAGATAGGAGACTCAACAGCCAAAATGATAAATGAAGGAATCCTCAAAGCTTCTCTATATTGGTTTAGGTTGTGGAATATTGGTGTCCCTGGTATATTCCCCAAAACCAATGTGTTTGGCCGAGAGACATGAAGCAGGATCTTGAAAACTGATATTGCCACCTGAAGATTTTTGCGAAGTCAGTGATATTAATCACGTAGCTTTCTAATAACAAAAATCAGATTAAGGAATTCCAAGCTTACCGCTATTCCAAGGCCTAAAGGCACTGAAATGAACAGAACACCGAAAAAGGAGCACAAGCAGGCCAAGAAATCAAGCTTGTCAACCTTCCACAATTTATATGCAGCTTGGTAATCTATTAGCCCTACAACTGCAGTGATGATAATGGCTGCTAAGACCACATTCGGTGTGTAGTAGAACAGTGGCATGAGAAACAAAAGGGTCACAAGAACTGCTGATGCCATGATTATATTTGAGACTGCTGTCTGAGCCCCGGCGTTATAGTTAACAGCTGATCGAGAAAAGGATCCTGCAAGTTTATTTTAATGTTATAATGGACATTTTCTCAAAAAATTCATTTCTTCAATAACCTAACTACTAGAAACATGGTCAAATGAGAGAAGAATCATTGCCTGTAGTGACATAGCATGAAGAACAAGAGCCAGCTATGTTCATAAGACCAATGGCCATCATTTCTTTGTTTCCATCCACCTGGTAATTCTTAAGTGCAGCAAATGTTCTCCCCACTGCAATTCCTTCCTAAAACAGAAGATGGAGCTGAGTATATGGTGTATTGTAGTGTGTGCATGCACTCGTGTGCACTTTTAAACTAAGTCTAAGGAGAAGACCATGACATTTACAACATCTAAGAACCTGTTTAAATATAAGTTTAGAAGAGTTTTTGAGAGTCTCTAATGAAAATAACTTCTTATTTTTAATAGAGAATCTTTAAAAAGAATTTCTAAACTTATATCCAAATAGACTTTAAATATAGAAAATTTTTTGGTAATCAATTATGTTTCTCGGTTTGGGACAACTTACAGTGAGGGACAAGATCCCAGTGACAAGTCCTGTTTTGATAGCAAGAGCCAAATAAGGACCACTGAAGTATAACATGTTTGATGATGGTGGATTAAGTCCCTTTGGCAATTCACCGATCTGACACAGAAAAAAGACAGGAAAAAAAAAAAAAAAAAGATAAAAATTATTACAAAGAAAAAATATATTTGAGCATCTCTAGTTTGTTTGAAAAATAGAAGAGGGAGTGTGCTTTCTTACAATAGGAATTTTATGAGTCTTATTTCTGAGAATAAATACTAAAATAGTTGAGAGAATGACTGATGTCAACGGGGCAGCTGCTGAAACCCAGAATAATTTTGGCTTCTTCAAGCTCTGTTGCAATTGTTAAGAATTTTCAGATCTTAAGAAACACATGAATTGTTTTTGTTTTTATGCATTAGTGTATTCAAGATATAGAATCTTACAATATGCCTTGTTGTCAATAGGAATGCTAGGAAACCGAATCCTAGTACAACGTTTTGCCATGACCACTACACAAGTTTAATAAAAATTTAATAAGCATATACATTAAACTGACACTTGATTGTCTAGCTATTCCATTTTGTCCACTCATGACATAATTAGAAGGCAGAAATTATGTTTTTTTGATAAAAAGTTGGAATCTGATCCCTTAATATAAAAGTCAAAGAAGAGAATATCTACTAATAGCTGGTTTTCGGTCAGCAATCTCAATGATAGTGTTAATTCTTATTTCTTAAAACAGAATCAGTGCCATCAAATTGTTTTAAAGAGTTCTGCGGTGGGGATTTTCTGTTTTTATTTTATAAAGTAGCTTTACTCTTCCGACCATTTGAAATATGCAAAACATTAACTATAAAATATATCTAAAAAATTGTGGCCGTCCTTTTAGAAAATAATTTCTCAACTTTAAACCTATATTTTATAAAAATAGGAGTAAAACTAGAATAAAGTAGTACAATAAGATGAAACTATACCTCATGTCTTTGCTTGAAAACTGAGATAAGTACAGGTGTTATTTGCATCTTGTTGGTGAAATGAACTATTCCAAGCAACCCTTTCAGCTGCTGCAGTGACACTATGATGGCTGCACCGGCCATGAAACCTACCAGTGTTGCCTTTGAGAGAAAATCAATTACAAATCCTAACCTGTGTGAATCATCAAAGGCTATTATCAATCATAAAATATTACTTTCCAAATACCAATCAATAATATAGCCTTCAAGTTGCTGTATTCAAACTTAATTGGAAAAATCCATGATGAAAAATAAAAACTAGGGGGTGCATGATTTAATACCTTAATATGCCCAGAGAAGATTGGAACAAACCGGCAAAGAAAGTGGCAGTGAAAGCCAACTTAAGATAGAGAATTGGATCTTGAGTAAAAGAAACCGTCTCGCTTAACATTGATCCCATGACCAAAGATGCAATTGAAACTGGACCAACACCGATATGTCTAGAACTTCCAAGCAGTGAATATATCAACGGAGGCACAAAACTGGAATCTGCATGATATTCATATTTGAAACGTTACTTTGCATTATCATTGATGATATATATCTACCACAACAAACTCAAACCAGGCACAAAACAAAGGGTACTAACATAATCCAAGAATAGGTGGCAAGTTTGCAAGCTTAGCATAGCTGATTCCCTGCATAAAAAACTTCCAAAGTTTTTACATAGTTCTACAAAACATTCTTATTTTTACTTAAAACAAAAAGTCATGACATCACACATGTGGATACTAATGAAGAAATTTTTACAAGATTTGTAACCAACACCATTCCATTAGTCTTGACCAATTTATACGTGACATTATCACACAAAGATTGATCTAACCATGGACTGGTCCCAAACAGCACATGTTCATTAGTCTCGACCAATTTTCATGTAACAGTATCACATGAAGATTGATCAAACAATAGACGGACCTGACACCTATCCATTAGTCTCGACCAATTTTCATGTGGCAATGTCACATGAAGATTGATTAAACCATGGACTGGTCCTGAACCAGCATCAATTCTTTGGTCTCAACCAATTTTAATGAAAGAGTGTCATGTAAAGATTGATAGAACTATAGACTGGTCTTAACATATCGCTTATCCATTGGTTTCGACCAATTTTCATGTGACAAGGTTGCATGTCACATGAAGATTGATCTAACCATAGACTGGCCTGGTCTAGGACCATACAATAACTTTTAGTACTAAAGTTCAGAAAAAGGGTGAGACGCGAGAGTGAGACCTGAGGAATGGCGAGGCTAGCAATGGTGAGACCAGAGATGATGTCAGCACGGAGAAGGGAAAGGTTGTAGTTGGGGGCCCATTGGAAAATGGGGAACAAGTATTGGAGAGCAAGGAGGAGCTTCATGAGGCATGTTTGGTTCTTGAACCTATGGAGTGGATCATCAGGGAAGAAAATCTCAGAGAGTCTGTGTCTGAGTTTTTGCAAGGTGGTGCGCTCTGGTGGCAACATAACCTTGTGAATTTCAAAGGGTGGCATTTGTATCTCAGCTTGCATCTTCATGCTGCTGCCATCATTATTGCAAGCTAAGTGCTCAACTCTGTTTGAGTTCACACCCATTGGTCGGTTTTCTCTGAACAACAAACTCAGGGTGGCTCTGAATTTATAGAGAGTGAAACCGTGGCATCAACTCAACACAGCTCTCTGTCACTGTTGTGCTGTGGAGAAGTTGCCGTTATTGTAATATTCGGATTTGTCTTCTCCAACTACCGCTCGTTAAACTTTGAGTGCGGTTAAAAACTTAAATGCATGCTGCCAAGTTTTCGGTGTATATGGAAAAATTACGGTGGAAAGGAAAAACAAAATTTAAATGGAATAATTTTAAAATAAATTTAAAATTTTCTTAGATAAAATGTTTTATTGATAAAAAGTTTATAAAGAATTTAAAATTTAAATATGTGTAAAATCTTTTAAAATAGCAAAATTTTAAATGCACTCAAAAAAAAGTAAAAATTTGATGTTCTTCATATTTTTTCTTTTTTATTTTATTTATGTATCTTTTATATCTTTCTTATTTCTTAATTATTGAATATTCAAAAATATTTTTTAAATTATAAATATTATTCGATATTAATTTTTAAAATTATTAATTATTTCAAAATTAGCAATTGTTTATTTTTATAAAATTTAATATAAAAATCTCAATGTATATTTCTTTTATCCATCATAATTATAATGATGACATCAAGGTATGAACTTAAGACTCTATACATTCTATCTCAACTCTCACGATTAATTGCAATGTGCGCGATCAATTTTACTCATGGTGAAAAATCAAATTACTGTATTTAAATTAATAATTTAAAATTTAATAAATTTGAATTGACAGATCTAAACAAAATATTTAAATAATGATGAAAATTGAAATAAAAGTAATTATTATATATTTTAAATTTGGAATAAGGAAGAATAACCTATGAAGAAAGCAACATGTGTGAGAGAATGTATAGTATTGTAAAAGAATATTAGTTTTATTGAATAACTTGAATTTAAATAAAACAAACTGAACCACTAATAGTACTACAATATTCTTATCTTAACTAATTTACTTATTCAAATAAAAAATTAATTTGACTAATTCAAACTAAAACTAAAATTGCGCATCTAAGATGCATATTCTCAATACTCTTCCTTGTCTTGAAGGTTACAAGCTTCATCTTATTCCTAAAAATTTCAACCCGGTGACTTACAATGTCTTGGAGAAGACATCAACAACTTAATCTTTTGTTCTAGATGAGAATTTTCCTGCTAAAATTCTATGTGAATGGACCTTAACAACTTCAACTTTCATGTTCTCTCCTTTATTTCTTCTTCTCTCAAAGCATCTTTCACCAATTGTATATGCCTTTTTGTGTGCTCTTGAATAGTAGTTATTTTCCCTAAAGCAAATTTTGCAATGATGCCATACTTTTAGTTCCACTTCTCTGTCTTCTCTTGATTATATTGAACTTTTTCCTTTGTTGCTATCAACCTTGCTTTAATAGCACCATCTTGGGACTTTGGGACTTCTATCTCAAAATCATCTAGTTCTTCTTCAACTTCTTGCCTTTAACGTGACAGTTTAGTGATATTCTCTTTTGTAGAAAAAACAAATTTTTCCTCCTCCAATGAATTTAGAGCAAAGCTTTTTCCACTCATTTTTATTCTAAGAATATCTTGGTCATATGTGTCTTTAATCAAAGAATGCTTGTTTTCAAAGAACACTTTATAATCTTTCTCAACTAGATGTCTAACACTCAATAAATTCTAATCAATTTCAGGAACATACAACACACAAAAATGAATTTTGTATTTGAGTAGATTGAAATCGCCATAATTCCTTTTCCATTCATAGTAACATACTTGTCATTTCCAACTCAAACCTTAGAAGTGCTTGCATTACTTAGTTCCTTGAATAGATCCTTGTTGTTTGTCACATGTTTCATACAACCACTCTCAATAAGCCAATTTTGACTTGATTCACTGCTAGAGAAGCATGTGTCAATGAACAAATACTTTTCCTCCTCTTGATCAATAGCCTTTGTCTCCTCATCTTTATCAATAACTTTTGCCACTTCACTATGTGGTTGATTTCTAATTTTGTAAATAACAATTTCATGGTTCATTTGATTGCACTCATTGCATTTAGTATTAAGTCTTCTCCAGCACCTAAATGGTGGATGACCTTTCTTTTCATAGTGTTTTCAAGGTGGATAAGATTTCTTCCAATTTCCTTTTGCATTTGCTTATGTTGAACTTGCTCTCGTACCATCAAAATCCTTATTTTTCTTGTACTTGGTCACATTTTGTTGCTTGGCTAGTAAGGCTTTTTCAATTGTTGATTCCTCCCTCATGAGCTTTCGTTGCTCTTGGCTTGCAAAACATGTATAACTTCTATCAAAGATATCTTGAATAAATCCTTTGTATTTTCTAAGGTGGTTATTTATACTTCATATGTCCCGAGCACTATAAGTATAATGTTTTAACAATTTTGGAATTTGTAAATTTACCACCCAATAATCTAACTTTGTTAGCAATGACAAACAATCTATATGAGTAACCTTTAACCATCTAAGGTTCTTTTATCTTTTGCAATTCAAATTCCCTCATCAAATTCAGTACTTGCATGCCTCAGATTATTCACTCATCCCCTGCATACTTTTCCTTCAAATAATCCCAAATTGACTTTAGCGTCTTATGGGTCATGGTCCTATTAAATATGGTTTGAGAAACACTAGCAAATAGGCATGACTTGACTTTGCCTTCTTGATTTTTTTCTTTGTGGTTCTTTATTCGAGTCATGGTGGGATTTTTAGGCAACAAAAGCACATTATATTCCTCTTTCATTGCTTTTCACAAATTCAAAGCTTCTAGGTATGACTCCATTTTCACTGGTCAAAGGTCATAGTTCTCCCATCAAAGATAGGAGGAGCAACATCTAAGCAATTTGATTCAACATGCATTTCACATGTCCCTAAAGAAGAGAGCTTTGATACCAATTGTTAGATATTTTAAATTTGAAATAAGAAAGAATAACAAATAGAGAAGACAACCTGTAGAAGCATATTAATTTTATTCAATAGCTTGAATTTAAATACATAAAATTAGCAAAATGATTTTAAAAATAATTTTACTGATACTAAAATAGTTTTTAAAATAAAAATAAATTGAGCCACTATATTTTTATCTAACTAATATATTTATTCAAATAAAAAATTAATTTGACTAATTCAAACTAAAACTAAATATGCTCTGACAGCATTTAAGGCACATGTTTTCAATAATAATTCAAATTTTAAAAATTTAAAATTTATTTAAAATTTATCATTCAAATACATCATAAAAGTGACCAACTAACTTTTTGAATGAAAATTAGTCATCAAGAAAATAAGTAAATATTTACTACTTAGAACCAAGAATATCATTAAAAACAAAATTCAAGCTTATTATTATTTTTTATCTCTCTTTATATTTCTCATTTTATATATATATATATATATATATATATAATATGTATAAGTAACACAAACAATTTTAAATATGACATACGTTGTAATATATTTATATGTACAAATTTATATTTTTTAAATTATTAATTTGCAAATAAATGTTCAATTATATTTTTAATATTAATTTATTAATAATAATATTATTAATACTTTTGATATATTTAAAATATTATCATTATTAATTTAACAATAATATTATTAATTCTATAAATATATATAATATAGTATATTTTTATTTATTAGTAATAAACGTATGTACAATTTTAGTTTTTTAATTGTGTGTGTATTATTGTAGTGATTAAGTGTTATTATGAATGGGCAATGCTGGGTTTCTATTTATTACATTTTGACAAGTTTTCAAACTTATTCGTGTTTTGTTAGCGTATGTATTTTTCACCTAATTTTTCACCTAATTGAACGTTATATTATCCGTAAGTGTCACATCAATCAAAAATATTAGATTTTAAAAAATAATAAATAGATTAAAATTACATAATTATAATATTTTGAGACAAAATTCACTCAACAGAAGAGAATAAAATTATATAATTACTATACTTAAAAATCAAAAGTAAAATTAAGAAGAAAAAAACATTTACTTTGGCATTTATACGGACATTTTATCTTATGTATTTCACAGGTTAAATATTTATTATATTTAATTAAAATTTATAATAAATTATATATATAATATATATTATATTTAAATATATAAATTATATTTAAAATTTGTATGAATAAATATTTTTAAACATATAAGTAATATTTGTGACGTATAGTAGGTTGGTTTAAGGTTAGTGAATGATAGAGAGAAGAGTATTTAAGGCTTTCTCTGAGAACGGAGCCTCATAAGCTCGTTCTCAAAGAAACCTAGAAAGAGGTATTAGAGAGAAAAACTCTGGTCCGTGAGCTTCTTTTTCTCCCAAACTTCTCTATTTGAATCTTATTCTCCCCTAGGCCACTAATTCCTTCTTTTCTTCTACAATTCAGGCGGAGAAGCTTGTTCTGGAGAATCGAAGCCCATGGGTTGAACTCGGAGGAAAATCTTCTTCTCCTTCTTTTCCTTGGCTGTTTTGAGCCAATTTTTAGGTGAGAGAAGCTAGATTGTAAACTTGTTGGTTGTGTGTGAGTTTAGGAACTCATTTGGAGTAAGAATGTTGAGAATATTGATTGATTTGAAGAATTTCTCATTTTCGGGATTTCAGGAAAAATTGGGAAAATTGGTGATTTTGACGTGTTGATGGTGGTATGTTGGAATTAAGCTTGTTTTTGAGCTGTATGAAGTAGATGTATTTCATTTCCTAGATTGCAAGTGTCTGAGTTGGGTAATTTTTAGGTTTTTGGTTGAAATTTTCAAAGTGGTGAGGGTTGTTGTTTGAGTTCACGCCGGGCGCAATTCTTGGCGCCCGACATGCGTTCATCTGGGAACTCCATTGTCTAATCACATCGGGCGCGAGGTTGGCCGCACCGGGCGAGAATAGGAATGGAATCCTCTAGATGAATCACGCCGAGCGTGGAAAAACCATGTTGGGCGCGATATCAGATGGTTACTTTGAATTTTTGTTACTGATA